TGAGGAAGAAAACGTTATGTTTAAATTACAACAACTTTAGAATAAAAAAAGATGTAACAGTAAATTCCATGTTAATTGAAAGATTACGATTTATTGAATAACCAGGAAAAAAACTAAATGTTAGTATTTTACAAGCTTTGAATAAAGTGAAAAAATGTTCCCAAGAGCAGCTTTTGTTGTTTGTAATGGCTTCTTTATTTTTATGTTCACATCAGAGACAATCCGTTTTTGAGGTTGTGGGTACTGATATGGTTTGCGACTATGACATCCTCCTGTAAATACACACTGACCGGTTTGTCTATAAATTATATTCTCGCCGATCTTGATTCAGTTGTCTAGAGGTTAAGTGTTTGTACACGTGACTGAAACTCCCAGATTCGATCCCCTGTGGTGGGATTCTGGATACACACTGTTGAGAAGTTCAGTACTAGGATGAGACAGCTGTTCAGTGCCTTCAGCTTTTTGATGGTTGTCCAAGTTAGATCGATTCGTGACCTCAACAGTATCAGTAGGATTTATTGAGTACTCAACAAGATAAATGGTGTTCATTATCATCTTATGAATTTGGAGCAAAAATCCAAGCTGAGCATTCTACCGATTTCTTCCAGCCATCTAGTATTGCAGCACAATGAAGACAATTCCGAGCTATTATGACTTATTAATGATCACTTACATATTAATAGATATAATTCGATCAATATAAAAGATTGAAAAAAACTATACATTGGTCACTTCTCGATGATCAATCAGATCAAGGTATAGTGTATTTACTGCCATACGTCTGATTAGTTAAATCTATTTGAACTATGAGTGAGCGGGAAAATGAGCTTAAATACATTATTTCACGACGTGTCTGGTTATATGGATTAGGATAATGATTCGATTGAACTCTAATTATTCATATGCAGCCTAAAGACCAGCTAAGTGTATTATTGTTAGTCAAGGTTTATATACTTATGTAGTGAACGAGAACACGAGTGGGGACAATCGAATGTATTTGACCACAAAATAACAGAGCATCTGAGAACCATATAGCAATTAGTAAATTTGCAAAATACCAAGCCATCGTCTCAAATTTGACTGTTCCTTTGCAAATATCAGTCCATTGTCTCAGATTTCATTGTTCATGCATTTTTATACCGAATTCTTTCCATTTCCGTTCTTTCCTTCTCGATGTTATACTGAAATACGATACAGTTATATACTATTTATGTGGACATAAGTAACCCACACCACACTTAGTCTTAATCTGTATTATTTACTCTAGAAATAATTATATTACCTACTTACTTACGCCTGTTACTCCTAATCGAGCATAGGCCGCCGACCAGCATTCTCCAACCCACTCTGTCCTGGATCTTCTTTTCTAGTTCCATCCAGTTCTTGTTCATTTTTCTCATGTCTATCTCCATTTCTCGGCGTAATGTGTTCGTTGGTTTTCCTCTTCTCCTTCGACCTTGAGGATTCTAAGTGAGGAATTGTCTTGTGATGCAGTTCGGTGCTTTCCTCAATGTGTGTGCTATCCAAATCCAGCGCTTTTTCCAGATTTCTTCCTCCGCTGAGATCTGGTTTGTTCTCTCCCACAGTAGATTGTTGCTAATAGTGTCTGGTCAACGGATCCGAAGTAGTTTGCGTAGACAACTGTTAATAAACACCTGTATCTTGTGGATGATGGTTTTCGTAGTTCTCCAGGTTTCGGCCCCATAAAGTAGAACTGTTTTGACATTTGTATTGAAAATTCTGACTTTGGTGTTGGTTGCCAATTGTTTTGAGTTCCAGATGTTCTTGAATTGTAAATATGCTGCTCGTGCTTTGCCGATCCGTGCCTTCACATCTGAACCAGATCCACCACCGTGTTCATCAATGATGCTGCCCAAATATGTAAAGGTTTTTACATCTTCCAAAGCTTCTCCGTCAATTGTGATTGGATTGGTGCATGTTGTGTTGTATTGGAGAATCTTACTTTTCCCTTTGTGTATATTGAGACCTACTGCTGCTGCTACACTGGTTGTCTTCTCCTGCATTTGTTGCTGCGTTTGTGATAAAAAAGCCAAATAATCTGCGAAGTCTAGATCGTACGACTGCATCCTAGATGTCCACTGCATCCCGTGCTTCCCTTCAGATGTTGGCGTCTTCATGATCCAGTCGATCACCGGGAGAAAGAGAAAGGGTAAGAATAAGAAACCTTGCCTGACACCGGTTTTTACTTAGAACGAGTTTGTCAACTGTCCTCCATGCACGATCTTGTAGTTTAATCCATCATAGGAATTCTGTATGATATTGACTAATTTCTGAGGCACGCCGTAGTGTCGAAGAAGCTTCCATAGTGTTGTTTTGTCTACGCTGTCAAATGCTTTCACGTAGTCAATGAAGATGACGTAGAGTGATGAATTCCATTCAATTGATTGTTCTACAATGATCCGTAGCGTTGCCATTTGGTCTGTACACGATCTATCCTTACGGAATCCTGCCTGTTGGTCTCGAAGTTGTGTGTCTACGGAGTCCTTCATCTTGTTTAACGATACCCTGTTGAAGACTTTTCCTGGTATTGAGAGAAGAGTGATGCCCCTGTAGTTATCACAGTTGCTGAGATCGTCTTTCTTTGTTATTTTGACCAGAAGTCCTTCTTTCCAGTCTTTTGGTACTTGTTCCTCATTCCAAATCTTATTGAAGAGAATGTGGAGTATCCTTGCAGTTGCCGCTACGTCTTCTTTCAGTGCCTCTGCTGGAATGTTGTTTGGTCCTGCTGCTTTGCCACTCTTGGTTTGTCTGATAGCCATGCTGATTTCTTCAATTGTTGGTGGGCCAACATCGATTGGGAGGTCCGTGGGTGCTGCTTCGATGTTGGGTGGGTTCAGTGGAGCTGGTCGATTCAACAGTTCTCAGAAGTATTCTATCCACCTGTTTCGTTGTTCTTCAATGTTGGTGATTATCTTGCTTTCCTTGTTTTTCACTGGTCGTTCTGGTTTACGGTGATTTTCAGAGAGTTTCTTTGTTGTGTCATACAGTTGTCTCATGTTTCCTTCTCTGGCAGCCTTTTCCGTCGCGTTTGCTAAATCTTCCACATATTTACGTTTGTCAGTTCTGATGCTCCTCTTCACTTTCTTGTTTAATTCTATGTATTCAGCCTGTGCCTTCGCTTTTTCTGTTCTTGTTCGACTGGTATTGATTACTGTCTTCTTGTTCCTCCTTTCTTGAATCCTATCCAGTGTATCGACCGTGATCCAATCCTTGTGGTGGTGCTTCTTTTGGCTCAGAACACCATGACATGTTGAAGTGATAGCCTCTTTTATCTCTTTCCAGTTGCTCTCCATAGTAGTTCTTTCTCCATTGAGCGGATCATGAAAGGCCTGGAACTTATTGCTGAGGGCTATCTTGAATTTGTTGAGTTTGTCATTATCCCAAAGAAGAGCCGTATTAAACTTTTGTGATATTGTCCTCCCCGTTGTCCAGTGCCTCTTGAGTTTTAATTTCATCTTGGCGACCAGCAAGTGATGATCTGATGCTATATCAACTCCTCTCTTGGTTCTCACGTCCTCCATTGTCCTCTTGAACGTTTTGTTGATGCAGATATGGTCGATTTGGTTTCGCGTAGTGTGATCCGGTGAAGTTCATGTGGTTTTGTGAATGCGTTTATGTGGGAATACAGTGCCACCTATGACCAGTTTATTGAAGGCACATAGGTTTGCAAATCTTTCATCATTTTCGTTCCTTTCTCCCAGTCCGTGTCGTCCCATGATGTCTTCATATCAGGTGTCGTCGATTCCAACCTTTGCATTTAAATCTCCCATCAGAATGGTCAGGTCCTTTGTTGAGCACTTCTCGACGATTGACTGCAGCCTATCGTAGAATTGATCTTTAGCGTCTTCATTGTAGTCGTTGGTAGGCGCGTAGCATTGGATGACGTTCATTAAAATGCCCTCTTTCTTTGTTTTGAAGGAGGCTTTGATGATCCTTGGTCCATGAGATTCCCATCCTATAAGTGCATTTTGTGCTTGTTTGGACAGCATCAATGCAACTCCTTGTGTATGTGGAGCATTTTCTTGTTCATGTCCGGAGTATAACAGCAGCTCCCCTGAAGCTAGTCGTTGTTGTCCAACTTGCGTCCAATGCGTTTCATTGATCCCAAGCACCTCCAGATTGTATCTCCTCATTTCTGCAGCAATTCGGAAGACTCTCCCAGTCTCCCACATTGTGCGAGCATTCCATCTACCTAAATAAATGGTTGCTCTGGTTGTCAGAAGAGGCATCGGCCTCGTAACTTCCGAAGGAACTCGGCTTTCATCATGAGGCGTCATAATTCTTCTAAATGAAGACCTTCTGATTCCCAGGGCAGAGTTTAAATGGTTTGAATAATTTTTTCTGATTAGCGTTTTTAGAGTTAGTTTTGTACGGGATGGGGTCGCTAATCCCATGCCCAACCCTCCTCCTTTATCCGGGCTTGAGACCGATAGTACTCCCCGGAGGGACTCTAGGCGGAGTTAATTATATTACTTAACTGTTTCTAAATTAAAAATAGGCGTTACAGGGTCCAAAATCTGTGATTTAGTTGTTTTAGTGAATAAGCTGTCGGTTTCTAAGTCAATATATTCAAGTCATTCAGTCAGGTATCACATTGGACTAAAATGATCAATATTCACCAAATATTAATCTTAATCCAATGCTACATAGTCTTTGATACCAATCAATAATATTATCCTATGGACTATATCTAATATTGAACACCTAATATAAACTATATATGCAAAGTGTACAAGATTATTCAATAGTTTGACAAAATTATTTAATGCATGTATAACTTGTTCATTTTATCAATGCATTAATCTATGAATCATCATGCCAAACCTTTTCACTTTACCCCTCCCCCCTTTAGATCAAATGTATGCATGTTAATAAGATGATTACTATTCATAGAAAGCCTATATTTGTTGTTGTTGTTATTGTTGCCAAGACTCCATAAGATATTGTTCAAATCGTTGTACCTAATTTGTATTGGTCTATTTCGTAGTAATGATGGATATTGTAAATAATAAATTATTCGTTAATATATTGAATTTGTCAATTTTTTATAGCAGTAACGGATGCTTTTTGTTCTTCTAAGTGATGTTATGGAATAAATGGATTCTACGTTGTTTAATTACATTCAATACATTCTACTGGGTAATTAATCTTTTGTTGAGATCATGGACCGATGTAAGTTAAAGCACTATTGGAAATCTGAGAGCGTTTGGCAGCCATTTTATTCTAGTATGGGACTCCTTAGTAGAGACTACACACAATCCCACACACCGGACTCGAACCCAAGATTTTCGGTCTGGTGCGCAGTGAGCCGGCATCCAACGGTATCAGTATCTAACTTCAATCAAACCACGAGATCATCCGACCATGTTCCATTGTATTCGGGGAGTAACTGCCTTACGCCCGATACAGATTAGCTCCACTGGTTACGACTCCTCATAAGTATTGAATAATATAAGAGGATTATTTGAAATGATTAGTTAATTTTTTAATTAAAACACCAAAAATATTGTTAAATAATGAACCAGTTTTAATTTAAAATTATTATTTTAGATTACAGGATGTATAGGTTTAAGTGTTGGAATTTATGAAATCACTTATAGTGATTATCATTTTCTTCGAGGAAAATATGATTTGGGATTATTTACTGGTGAGTTCTCTGTAAGTACGTTTGTTTGTTTGTACGTATAAATGTGTGTGTACGTGTATGCTAGGTGTTTTTATAGCAAGTGTATTTTCTATTTTAATCATCATGATCAGAAAGTTTGAAGTTTGATCTCAAGTGAGATCGTGCTTGATTATTGCTGGTGTCATGAATTTTAAAGGAAAAGCTGTACGCCATGCAGTTTATACTAGTTTACTAATTGACGTCATTTAATAGATTGATAAATAAGTGTTAGATATCTGGAGGTAGTCGACGGGAAATTATTTCTAACCCAGACATCATGTTAATTAACATTCATCAACAAGGAATACCTGGGATTCGAACCCATGTCTCTCAATTAAACAGAATGAGACGTTATCGTTTAGCAATTTGAAACAAGACTGACATTCTACAGGACTGAAGTATTTATACTGGTTGATTACTAAACAATCATATTATGTTTATCAATTCCTCTAATGATGATTGAGTTCTTTAAATTGAATTTCAGTGTGGTCACTAGTTTAAGTGACCCAATATTTCATGTAGTATTTTGAGATTAAGTGAATTTGCTCAGTACTAAATGGACTAGCAAATAACGACATTGGTAACTACTCATTAATAAATCGGTATCGTTTGACAATGAAATTACTTGGATAATTACATTACCATTGGAACAGATTACATAATCATCACAATTTGTAACGACCATTAGTAGGATCTAATTTATATATTTCAATCTTACATAATTTAGCTGAAGAAAAATCTTTATATTTCAAATGAAATCAATAAAACTAATTCATATCTCATCAAACCTAAAATTATTTTTGTTTCCCTTTCATATAAATCAATGATTAGAAAATGGCACCTTATTTCTAAAATAGTTTAATATTGATCACTGATATTCCTTCTTTTAAACTAGGATCTTATATGATATGTTCATGTGGGATATTTATTCTAATATCGAGTCCATTTGGTTGGACTGGAATCTTGTCAAGGTCAAGAAGAATATCATTAGCAGTGAGTTCAATCAGTACACCCAATTCAATTATTTTGTTAATAGTAATAATGATAATAATATTTCTAAGTAATCCTTTTCTTATTTCGTGATCGATTCTTGCAATAAATATTGAATAGTCGCCAGTTAGATATTAGCAGTTCAGGACTCGACATCTGAATAATGTATATTCTTTTCGATGCATATATAGCCAGCAACCACGATGTCTCTGATTGAACTCTTTTGTAAATTTTACTGCGAAATATTGTAAACCTTTCACAAACGCACCTGAACAGGTTATGTGGCTATAAGGCATAATGATGTATTAAAACAAACAAGAAAACAGATAATTTGTTGAAATAACCGGATGACAGGAACAGGTAGTCCAGATATTGAAGCATGCTGCCTCGATCGATCTTACATCATGATAAACATAGTCTGTTCAGCAAGTACATGAACTGTGTTTATAAAAAAATTTACTTCACAAATGTTGGGTTACATCAATCATATATTTAACTTATTGTCATTTCTGTTGTTTTAAACATACCTGAATGTTCACAATTGATTGATCACTGGGTGGTGATCAATGTCATGGGTATCAAGTCCTTATTAGTGCAGATCGAATGCTATCGACCAAGTTGCAATGTGGTCACCAGTCTAGGTGACTTGACACTGCGTGCACTATGTTGAAATCATATGGTGGTTAAAGATAGTCGACAGGAAACCCTAAACACCTTGCTGACAAGTGCGAACTAGCACGAAACCCGGATCCAGGGTTTCCTGTCGACTACCTCCAACCACCATTTAATACCTGAATGTTATTAAAAGACAACTTGTTCAACTGTCTCATTGTTTAATGTTTTATTATCTTCAGATTAATCCATTATTACTTTTATGAATATTTTTTATTCATTGAAGCTTTTAGTGGGATTTTTCAAGTCAGTGAAGCTTTTAGTGCATTTAAGGTTTTAGTTGAGTGTTGATAACTTCTATATAATGTTCGTATACAAATTTCGTAAATTCAAATATGTCATTAGAATTGTGAGTACGGATGGTTTTCACAAATTTACTTTCTTGATAGTTATTCGGATAGTGAGCCAGTGCTTGAAAAGTTAATTAGTCAGTCAGCTACAACATAGGACCAGGCATATATATATATATATATATATATATATATATATATATATATATCGATTCAAGTTGCCACAGCTGATTAGCACAAGATGAACACCAAATTCATAGTAGTTACTTCAGTGGTAGTAATATATAAACGAAGGATTGCATTGCTCGGAAAGTATCAGAGATCATAAGTACTTTCGGCGTTCTCTTCATCTTATAATGAAAATGTGAAATTGTGATCATGGATGCATCTGGACAAATATTTTGTATCTGAATCAGATAGAATAAGTGGTATATGTAGATAGAAATTGGAAAAGTATCGTTAACGCATTTATTTTATCAATTTGTAGCTAGACAGAATCACTAAAGACTTTATTGTTAGTTTATGGATAAATTTTCTCAGATCATGAAGCTTCAAAATGAACACTGGGATATGAGATTATTTTTGAAAGTCTTCAATTTATTTGGTTAATACGTGTAAGAACCCAACATGACCTGTCAAAAAGAGTGATTTTCTTCTAAACTGTAAAAGTACCGGACTGATGAAGTTCAACTAGTACGAATATTATATGTAAAGTTTCTCCAGTAATCTAAATTCAGACAGAATTACGTAATGACTTCAAAACAATTTGGCTAATGTCCACTACACAATTTGATTAGTAGAATTCCATTAGAATTGAAGATTAGGCAAGCATGACACTGATTACTACACAGAGGCTGATCAATTATAAATATCTCAGTCTTGCAAAAGGTTAGAGATGATGTCTCAGATTGTGAAGCTAGATAATAAGGACTGTCTCAAATTATCAGTAAGCTTTTCTAACAGGAAAACTAGATTGAACAGGATTTCCTGTCGATGACCTTCAACCACTTGAATTCAGCTACAAGATTTACACAAAATGATGAAATAATGTAACCTAAATTATAAAATGTAAATCTTAATTACCAATGTTAAACAAGGTCTACTAACGACGCTAAATTGAACTAAACCTGAGATATTTATAAATAATAACATATATGACACAACTATATTGAATTTCAGCGATTTATATGTTTTAATTTACGAACGAATTACTGTCACGTTTCCGCCTTGATTGATACTAGAAGTTATGATTAATTAGTAAAACGCAAGGAAATCAATATTGAAGAAAGTTGCTTATAAAAGTGATAATTATATTTTAATTTGCCACATTTACCAATACCGACTATCTCTCTCTATTTCTCTTTCTTTCATACAAATCAATGATTGATACATTAAATTATTGATCATTTTTCCTGTTATTGATATCTAAAACTGTAATATTTATCAGTCTCTGTTGAGGCATAAGCCTTTAACAAATGTACTTCTGTCTTTTTTTTTCATGATAAGTTTTGTATTATTCTGGTACTTAATGGAATTTGTCTACTTAGTTGTGGAATATGGTCATCAAAATATTCTGGAAATGTAAGTTCATTTCGATATCATTTCAATTTAATAATATAGTGACATGATTATAGTTTATTTCTGATTGATTAAATCATGTATGGAGAATAACTGTTTTAGTGACCCCTATATCTGACTCCAGTTTGATCGTTTCTAATTGTTATTAAGATATACATATCGTCAATCCTCGTATAAAATGATTAGCTTAACTCGTTTTAGTGAATAACGAAATTAAATAAGTCAAATACGAAAATGGATTTTTGAATATGTATATTTTGTACACTTGTTGATCGAGACAAACGACCGAAGAAAACTAAGGTAAGAGAGCGGAGCAAAATGACGCGCAGTAGAGAATGCATGTGGACCAACTCGATTTAATCAAGCGTTAATCAATATTTATTGTCACACAAAAATAAGCTACTGACATGTGATGAATAGGATAAGAAGTGTATACACATACGCTCATATAAAAACAGTTAAAGTTGATAAGTGAAGAATTAACAAGCTTAAAACGTGACTAAAGAAGAATGAATAAATTGGACTGTCCAGAAGCTAGAATAAGTTATATTGGCTTAACATAGTAACCGACAGTACACTGTATAAATAATAATTCAGAATATTGTTTTTGTAACAAAATTGTACAAACAACCGTTAGATTATACAGTTCTCAAGAAAAGTCAGGTAAGTGTATGTTATAAAGATTAACTTAAAAGTAACTTGAACAAATTTTAACCCATTGCTGACTAAATGGTAAAATAATTATGGCGAGACTACAATTTATGGACGACCTTTGAAAGTCTTAAGTGACCTTGAGAAATATTAGCCAATCAGAAAACAGTTACTATGGCGTAGATATATATTATTCAATTCTTTTACATGGTTCAAAAACTTGTCAAGGTTAGAAAGAGGTTCAGAGGTTCTAAAATCGTAATGCATGTGATGTAGGAACTCATTCATATGGCTCGTTAATAGTAGGCCTCTAGAGTTATGATAGGGTCGCAAAAACTATGCTTCGACCATATAGCTTCAGTATTGTTTGTGTGCACTCCGATTGTGTAAACTTGTCATTTTTATTATGCATATATCTCTACAATAATCATACCACATAACAGCCGAAGCTTCAGTAAAATCTGCAAATGTTACAGCCAATGTTACTGGTGCTTTTATTATCCAGTTCTCAACAATTATTATAATTTGCTTTAGTCTCAATCTGGATCGGGCGGAAAAAGTTCTTCTTCTAGCAGACTTCTTCCTTCAACATATGTTACATCGAAAGATAACATCATCACGGTAAACTACACAAGGTCCATAAGTCACTTGTTAACCAAAATCACAAATAAAGGAACTTCTTAGTAGTTCCATTTGTTATAGCCGCTCATTTATCACGTTTTCTATAAAAATCCGCTGTGAACCGATTGTACGTGAGCATCAGGTACTGAAATTGGCGCATTGACATTGAAATCCCTCAAGCACTTCTGATTGGCTCGTCTATAAATTATAGTCTAGCCCATACAAATTGATTTCAACTTCTCATTTCATATTATAGAATATAGAAATGATAAGGTGTAATATAGAGACAAACATAAAGATGACCGAAACGAATTTTCAACTAGTTCTTAGTTAATCAAAAAGATTTACTTCGTTAAATAGATAGTTTATGAATAAGGAAATAATAATATCACAATGCATAGACAGATTTTATATATTTAATAGATCAACTAAAATCTTCTACGAGTTAATCTGCCTGAAAAAAGAAAAATAACGACACAAAAACTCGTCTCCATGGATATGGATTATTTATTTTCAACAGGATATAAAAGGCTTGGAATAGATTTCTAGGATTTTTTTGATTGAGATCATGAATCAAAACATGGAAACACTGAACAGTCACTTCGTCCTAGTATGGGACTCAGCAGAGCGCGCCCACGAGCCTACATTTGAGGTCCAGACCCCGGACCTTTGTTCTCGTGCATGAACGCTTAACCTCTAGACCACTGATCCGGTAGCTAACGGTGTTAGGTATTTAAGGCAAGAACTAGGTATTCATGTTTAAGATTTCCATCATGAACTAACATCAGCAATAAGAGGAAGCTGCTATGTAGACAAATGTATAGATAAATTTAGCACAATAAATTAAGAAGCGATATCTGATAAGTTCATTCATAAAATATAGTGCCACCAGGTTAAGATTTATTCAGCATTAAGATTTTAGGTTAGAATTTAGCGACAGTGTAGATTCCCTTTGTCATATTGTGGTGTTTGAATGAACTAATAATTTCTTTGTATTTGTTGAATGCTTGATTTCAAATTCCAAATACAGTACATTCTTTCGTGCTTATCTAGTACTTGTTGATCCAATTGCATTATTTCTGGGATTCCTAATTCGTACTATAATTCAAATACTCCTAATTATCACACACATGCAATCTATAGGGATAGAATTTGGGGTAGAAAAAAGTAATTTTCAATTATCATTTCAAATATTTTGAACAGTGTACAAAAGATAACAATAAATATATTTGGAGATACATCAATGAGTAGAAAACTGGATGGCTGACAAAATGGTTTATAATGCTCGTTATACATAATATTTGAATTCCGAGCAAAATTTCAAGTCATTTTCCCAGTTCTGAATAGCTAGTCCGTATACCATCCCTTTTTACTGACTGATCATGAAATACACTACAAATTTATGCATATTAATCCAACAACATGTTGAAAGTCGCGATAACAAATAAGTAACCAGTTAGTGTTGTTAACTTGTAACTTCCCATTGTTATTTAGGTCTGCAATTGATCAGTCTCTTGTTGACATATGTGCATCCTGTGCGGACTTCCTCAATATTGCCTGAAGTCACAAGCATTATGATCAAAGATGGACAGTGGCTAGCAGTGGAATCCAGGACCCATGTTTCGGTCTATTTATGACTCGTTAGCTGGATGTACCTGCATCTCATAGATGATGTTCACTCTGGGACTCGAACCCAGTACCGTTCGCTTCGAAAGCCACCGGATTACCCACTTAGCTACTGAGTCCCGACGGCCATTTACTTGTGCAATCGGATGAAGTTACATTCACTTCGTGTTATTTACTTATATCTTCCCATTGTTATTTAGGACTGCAACTGATCAGTCACTTTTTGGTATATGTGCATCCTGTGCGGAGTACCTCGATATTACCTAAAGTCACGAAACGAATGTCCTAGATTCCACTACTAGCCATTATTCATCTTTACTTAAATAATTAACCAATTTATAAAATATCATTCAACTAATAAGAATAAAATTGAACTTGTTTATAAAACAATTTTCAGATTACTTCAATATTGTAATATTGATCTTTATCAACATCATTTAATTTAATATTCTTTTAGATACCCTTTGAACTAAATGAAATGTTTGATAATTTATTAAAAAATTATAATGAGAAACGTTTAATGGTAAATGATGAAACGAAATTTCTCAATTACATTCAATATAAAGTGAGTAAATTGAATAAAAACTTTCTTTTTTTTTAAACTATCAAGCAAATGGAAAATCATCAAGTACCATAGAATATCGATATATGTATACCATAATTCCCATTTCTTTCCTAGTTCCAACTATTTTTAAATGACAAAGATTACAAAAACGAGACAGGTTTATTTCGGTAAAGAACGAATTAGATAGAATGGAAGTATGAATGATATGTACGGTGACTTTGCAAGCAGGACAGGAAATCAGTTTAGTATAAAGAGTAACTACCCAAATAAAAAAAGAAATCATTTAGTGGCTGTAAATATGAGAATTGGTTCCTTTGACTAAGTAAAATATGGAAACAAAGAAAATGTACTTAGATAAAGTAACAAAATAAACTAGTATATAAGTGATTTTCTGGAGACTTAAAATTACTAACAACTGGATAGATGATTTATCCTTAATGACCCACAATTCTCACTCCTTACGGAATCAAATAAACAATCTTCAGATCTTGAACTAAATACAAAACATTCTTAGTATACCAAGTTATAATCTGTTATTTTAAAATACCAACGTTAGTTAGATTGCAGGCAGTACCATCTTCATTCACTGTTTCCTGTAAGTACTCATCTAATTGACAACTTTGTTGAGTTCACAGATCATTATTTTCTACTAAGAATTCAGGAACTATATTTCAAAGACAATCATTAATAAGCTCATAAGTATCATCCAGAGCAGTGACTTCAAGGTGCTTATTTTTTAAATATAGGTACGATTTTCATTACATTGTGCGTCAACATTGCTGAAAATTTCAAACCTAAGATGAAACAGTTGTCCAATCCTTTCAGAGTTTCTTTTTGTCCTTTGTGTGTTGTTTGTTCCTAGTAAAGGGTATTTTTAGTATTTATCAGAATTTTTTTGTAAGACCTATAATCTACCTAAAGGAGAGCTTGTCAAAGTTACTCACTAGTTTAAACAATCCTCTTCATAATCAGATGTTTCAAATGATAAACAAAATAGATATATACGATTAAAAAGTATGAAACATTAATCCAGTGCATTTAACATTTGATAATCTATGGAAACAAACAGGAAGTTTCAAAAACAAAAGTATTAGAGTGGTAAAAGTTCAAGTTATATTTATGTCATTAGTGATATGTCACTAAGAGTGATTTGAAAAAAAACACTAACTCGTTAATGAGTTATGACAAAAGCCACTGGTATCTAGTCTTTAGTTCTGATCAAACTGTATCACTCAACTTGTCAAGTAGCCACTAATAAAGGGTAACACCTTTGACTGAAACGTTGAGTTATGTGGCTTCAATTCACATGAAAACAACTAGTTTTACCGAGATGATGAACGTCTAGAAATACAAAACCTAGTTTCAAGGCATCTTATCTTACTGTTAAAATAGAAATCTAAAATATACAAATTAATTTACTAATAATATCTACCCATGTTGTATTATCTTTCTAATAAATCGTGAATGTTTTGTTATGCAGCATTGTATTTCCCTTTGCATGAATTGAAAAACTTAAAACACTTCGTAACTCAGTGACTAGTGAATTCACGGAATTCTTCAGTTGAACACTTTTAATGTTCATCATTGAAATGTTTATGCAACCCAATACATATTTAACTCAATAATCTTTTGCATGGTAGATTAAGTTCTCAATTGTAAAATTCAAAAAAACCATATTTATTACACAATCTAATATTTGATGGTGACCGGAAGGGAAGTACATCTTATAAATCCTCACAAAAATAATGCTATCTATTAAATTTGGTTAGTGGCTAGAAGTGGAATCCAAGATGCGCCTTTCATGGTGTTCGTAACTCGTTAATCAAATGTAGTTGTCATATCCCAGTGTTAATGTTTTGTTAATTCCCGATAAGCATAATGAATAGTAATTTTTGGGATCCATTTGTGGACCAATACTATGCGTATGTTTTATCGTATAATTGTTAATTAACTAAACTAATCATATTCATGTCTCTCTTATTATTAGCTTTATTTTAACCTATGAAATGTTATTGTACGATTTTCCATTTTTGAATTATTCCCTGTTTATTAATCACTACCTCCCACATTTGGCCAAATCTTGTTTTCATATTTTATGGTACGATGTGGTCTGTTTGATTGCTATATAAACCCCGTGTGTTTGAAATAGATGATTCATATCACAAAGACTGAGATTTATGTTCTGGACTTAACTGCTTGGGCTAGGCAGGAAGCAGGGCCAGTAAGGACTCTAGACCGCTCATACGGGTTTACGCGTCATTGGTCCGATAGACAAGTCACTGCTCCCTAATCGGCGGTATCGTTACGTTATACATAAGCAGGGCACCCAGGTCACAAGTTATAACATGTTTACTCCGAGGCTCAAATCCATTATTTTTCGCTTCAAAACCCAGGTTGTTATCCACTGACCTACTGCGTCCAAAAAATCCATTAGATTAATGTAATGGGTATGAATTGCTATTTCTAATCTCTAAGGAGTCAATATTTTAAAATCACCATTCTGATAATAACAATAATTATCCTTTTGTAGTTTGATTGCTGTGGTAAATTAAATGTTGAAGATTTGTTAGATCGTAAACCAATTATTGCATGTGGAATGAAACCAACTGAAAAGAAGGTATGTCCAATTTTTTAAAATTATTATTGTCATTAACAGTATAATTAATAATTCATTCAATTAGGGATGTTTAACGAAAGTTATCGGTACGACAAAATCAGGTCAATTTCGTATTGCACTTGTTAGCATCTGCATAGCAATTTGGCAGGTCAGTAAATAACTAACTATTAAGTAATGTATTTATTATTAGAATTTTTATTTAATATCAACCAGCAAATATATATATCACGGGTTTACCTTAGTTAAACAACCGCTGGAAACCAGAAAGAGCTGGACAACTGTACAGTCCAAATATAGGACTCCTTAGTAATGATTAACCATGATCCTATTGGAGTCAGAATCTAGGATCCTCGATCTCGAGGTGAAAATTTTATCTTTAGACCATTGATTTGGCATCCAACGGTTTACACAGTGAGACCAGAGGTCCTGGATTTGATCACTGGTAGGGCCATATGTGTGCACTGCTGGGCTTTTCAATGCTTTCTGGTTTTCAGTAGTTGCTTAACTAAGATCAGTTTGTTATGTCAACTTGAAAATTCACTAATGTTCACGATCCCTGTACATTAATAAAATTGTTTTTTTCCTCTTGAAGACATAACAACTGTGCCTAGCCCACTCAAATTTTTGGTATGGCTATTTTGTAACTATGCAGGTTTTTCTAAAAATTCTCATATTCTAGACTTATTTCTAAAAAAGTTGATTATGCATCTAACGTAAAAACAAATGTATTCGTGAGCTTTTGTAGCTAATCGATAAACTAATGAGTTTAAATACTATAAGATATTTTTGAAAGTTGAACTCACGAGTTGATCTAAGCTAGATCACTATTGAAAACCTGGAAGCACTGGACGGCCGTTTCATCCTTTATGTGAAACCATGGATGCGCACTACTGAGGAGTCTCATACTGGGACAGAACTGCTGTCCAGTGTTTTAAGATTTTCAATAGTGATCTAGCTTAGATCAACTCGTGAAATGAACTTTGAAAATACCACAATCTCCACAAATCCCCATATTGACTATAAGATATCATAAAAAATATCATAATGGTTTAGATATTTTACTTCTTGTCTATCCTCGGAGAGTCGACATCAGATTACACTGGAATACATGCATATTACACCATGTTGGAAAGGTATTGCATTCAAATTTGATTAGCAGTTAAACATATTTTAATATGTTTTCGAAGTGAAATTGTTGGGGTAATCCAGAAAACTCGCAAATACAAGAAAGGCTCAGGAAACACTAAGAAGCATTTTATTCAATCAGCGCTCACTAGAAGTTTAGCCACAAACATCAAGAAAGTAAAAAGTCACTTGTAGAGTTTCTGATTGGCTGATTACTATACTGCTACTATGTTTAATAGCATTCCAGAATTTTCGGGAAACCCAAAGACATCTAAAATACTATAAGAACCGTATATTTTTTGTAATAAAACGAACCTTTGGAGTAAAGTGCTTCTCGCATATTTTGCGTCTTTTCTCTCGTGTTCAAGTCGCTGTGTAGTTCTAGCTTGGGGGTTACGAGAATAGCTTAGGAACCGAAAATAGCGTTCAATTAGCAAGACTTATCAGAAATATATTCTAAGATGGGATTATATTAATATTGTAACTCTTAGCATGAGATCATTGTTTCTATTTAATTATGTTTTATTTTTCTTAATTATTATCTTCATTAACCTTTGTACCTTACCTAAACTGTATGTCTGTCCTTTTTCAGTTTTTCGGTATCCTTATTTATTCATTCTTTACTTGTTCAAACTGGAATAATCAAAATCACCACCCCCATCATCATTTTGATTATCAATATTCGAAAAAAGAGAATACAAGGAACTTTGAATAATGACAATGATGAAAAGAATTTCTAAACAGAAGTATATGTTACTATAAAATATACTGGTATCTATGGCTTAAAAGAAATAAACAATTGAATTGACAATATTCACTGAGGATAATTATTTTGATTATATTAGTAATCAGAGAGAAAAAAAGGAAAGATCCCTTGGTTACAAATATATTATGTTATTTTTTCCTCCCCAAAAAATTCATTTCCAATTCACATGTTTAAATTAATCAATTAGATTACAAAACTTCTATGGTAAAATAAAAAGAAATCATGGAGGAAGTGAAATGATAGTTAAGACAAATTTTTATATTTATCATTGAAAAATCCTAGTTGGTGTACTGCTTAAGATCAGTGAGCATTTCAACACTTCTCATTAGTGTATATACATGACTTTCAAGTTTTTAAGCAAAACGAATAGTTTTAAGGTAACATTCTTCAACTTCACACAATTCCTTAAGTGTTATTTAATCCACTTTCTGTTATATGTTTTATTCCTGACATGGTTATACTCCAAAGGTTTAGTATGCTTCCAATCATCAGTGACATTATTAGGATAGGGGGTTTGAGAAAAGCATGTTTTCCGGCTCAACCCATTGAAGGACTGAATAAATGTAGAAATTGACGAAATGCGTTTTGGAATTCAGTAATAAAATATGATGTGCATTGAACGAATATTCTGTCAGTAATGTTGTATGTTTCTGATTATGACATTAGGTGATGGATTTACAAGTTCCATCAAAAAATTACTTCTTTCAAGTATGTAAATACATCTTAGTAATAACTGTTAACCAACATGGCATCTAAGTGAAAGGTTTCCTTACAATTATCCCCAGCCTCCTGACCGCAGATCGTAATAATGAATCATTAATACTAGTTTAATGGAAAGAAAACGTTGAAAATCCCTCCACAGCATTCCATTGGACAGTAGTGTCATTCATTTGTTTCTTCTTGTCTTGTATTCAACTTTTATTTAGGTCTCTTGTTAACCACACTTTATGTTTGATGCCTGCATATGCCTAACTATAACATACGTCAAAGCATGATGTTTGGTGGTATATGCTGGAAGAAAGTTGGAAGCAGCAAAAGCAAAACATGATATCAGGCTATAAAGTCGTGTAGATAGGTGCAGGTCACTTGATTAGTTTGTGGGGTTTATCGTCACCAGTGATTAGTGACATCATTACAAATATCAGAGTAAAGCGGACTCAATAAATTAGTGATCTTATCACGTAGGTATATGGAAGTTGAATTCTCAGCATATGTGTTCATTTCCGGAGTTTCAATCTCAACGAAAAGCAGTTAGCTAACGGAGTAAATAAACCTATATTATACTAAAATTACCAAATAACTTTCCACTAGTTGAGGAATGTTTACAGTCGTATTCTCTTCGACTTCATTAACAACACACATTACTATGATTTGAAAAGAAAATATTGTAGTTTTAATTATTCTCATTAGCAAAATAAAAGGCAAATAAAACAGGTATATTAATATCATTATCATTGTCACTTCTTTTGTAAATTAATTGTATACACAAAACAACAAATTATTCAAAAGATCGACAAATTAAAGAAATATAGACATATTTGAGGCAAAGTAAAAAGTGTACACACCCAGAGGAAACCTTCCTCCAACAAAAATAGTAGGTAGATGTGCCAAAGAAATAATAATGACAAGTTGAAAATGTATAATAATAATATTTAATATTATTACATATCCATGGGTAGAAGACTTGATAATCCACCTTGGCCACCACTGAAGCCACTAGTAATGATTTTTAGCTAAATTATGAACATTTGGAAGGAGAAAAAGAAACGCTGGATGAAAGAAAACTCTTTTATTAAGTTACTATGTAGCGCAACAGGAACAACAATAAAAACGCTACCACTACCACTAATAATGGTCGTTAAAACTAGTCAGGATGATAGGACGTCATAAAAATTGACTCTTAAGAAGAATCTCCAAATGAGTATATTTTGCAGAAAATATGTAGTTTATATTATGGATTGGAGTTTGGTTATACAATTATCGAAAATCAAGAAGGACTAGACATCTGATGTTTACCACCTAGTATCACGTAATTAATCATGAAAAATATAATCTGGAAAAGAAGGAGAAAACTTTAAATGTAAACGCTTAAATTATTACTCTCTTTCACATTCTCACAATAGCAGGAAGAATGAAACTAGTGACTGTAGTGAAATTTGACGGAGACAGAGTGATAGAAAAAAGGCAGAAAATTAAAATTTAAACCTGTTGGTTTTCAATCCAGCTGCTTAAAGGTTAAGAGATCATTGAAAGACTTCAATTTCATTGGTTCGATCCGTGATACAATCGTGGATGTGTAATATTGAGGTATCTCATTTTAGGAAGAAATAACCACTTAGTCCATTGTGTTTCTCGACGATTATCTAAGGTTACTTCATGAGGAAGATAAGAAAATTAACAATCGCCACAAGTCATTTGTACTAAAAAAAGATAGTTCAGTCAGTCAACCATAACCAATGTAGGATCAACCACGGAAAAATGTATCGGTTCAAGTTGCCAAAGCCACATAAGTACACTAAGTTGGGCAAGTAAAAAGATGAACGATAGCCAAAAAGTTGGAGTAACTGTAAAATTTAAAATTAAATTTAGAAAAACACAATTGAATGAACGAAGAATATTCTTTTCAATAATTTCTCATCAGGTTCTACAATTATAAATCGACATTAATAATCCATAGAATTGGCCAGATTTAAGGCAGAGTACATCATTTGGAATTTGTGATAAGTAAATCAAGAATTGTTATTTGTTATATAAAATCAATTGTTAATGTTGAAGCTGGCTTCAACATTAACAATTGATTTTATATAACAAATAACAATTCTTGATTTACTTATCACAAATTCCAAATGATGTACTCTGCCTTAAATCTGGCCAATTCTATGGATTATTAATGTCGATTTATAATTGTAGAACCTGATGAGAAATTATTGAAAAGAATATTCTTCGTTCATTCAATTGTGTTTTAATATAATGGGAATATTTCAGAGATTAAAATTTAGAAAAGACTAAATATAGAGAATATAAATAGGAAAGTAGGAGCGAATCACCATTAAAACCCAAGACCTATAGGAAGATAGAAGATAAATGGATCTACAGCACCAGGACAGATTCTGAGCTATATCTATACATCTGCTAACATGGTACAGACAAAGATTATATGGATTTCGGTGCTCTTTTTTTGTGGTCTAATCTGACACAATGCAGCACTGCGCACTGAGATAGGTCACTCGTTAAGGTTACGTTGCATTTGTCTAAACCATTTCAATCAGTGAGAATTTACAAGCGCATCAGTCGAATCGTCATTTTTACTTAGCTACCACCTAATATCTACAACATCGATATTGCTAATTTGATTTTTTCACCATACACGAGACTGGTAATTTGAAGATATCAGTGATCAAAGGTACTAGTGATTGAATGGTTATTAGTTGAGCTTCATTAATAAGTCAGTTAGTCATACGCAACAAAGAGACTGGTACAAACATGTGTTAGTTCAAATACCCATGTTAAATCAGCACAACAAAATGAAATTAACGTAATGAATAATAAACGAATCGAATAAGCATTAAGTATATAGTTCAAGAAGATAAAATGAAAAGTTATGTATGATGAAATGCTGGAACTGAAGGTCTAAAATAAGAATGGATGCATCTGTATCACTGTGAGACATACCGAATTAAGTCACTCGAAGTCTCTAACCACTGATTGTGGTAATTGCACGGACCTCGACCCAATCAGGTAGTTTGTATACACCAATATTAATAATTTGGGATTTTTTGTAATTCCATTTATCATGATATGTTGCTTAACAATCTATTCATAATTTTTTAATTGTGAATAACACTTTGAAAAACACAGTCTTACTTACTTTGAACATTGAAGGGGGCTTATTATTTATCATTGAATGGGATGGTGTAATAATTTCAAATATTTCACGACATAATCCAATAGGTAAACTACCACTACCCAATGGTACAAGAATAATATAATCAGATTTGTACAGAGAATGCTTTTCATTTTCCCCGACGCTTCCGCTACCACCGGGAATGCGAATGAATCGACTATATGATAAAAGTAATGGTGTAAAACAATATTTCGAACTGAACGAAAAAATAACATTTTACTAAATATAATATGGAAATTATTGCAACACTACTGATTAGTGGCGAGTGGATCTTGGAGGGGGGCATTTTCGTTTTATTTTCATCAAAATTATAAACTAACATTGAACCGAAGCAACATATCAGCCTTTCGATTAAAAATAATTCTGAACTAACATCATTTGACGATAGTATTCTCTATTCCCTGACTGCTATCAAAAGGAAGGCTTTCTAAAAATATATAGGGCTGAAAAATATGTAGTCATAAGGATTGATCAATTTTTGCTACTAGCATCAAAATTTTCACAAAACCGACAAAGACTGCAGCATCTAACAATACTGTGATATTTTGTTTTGAAACGACAATTGGTTTGTACATTATTATTGAGGGCTTTATTCGTAATTATAATGCCTTCAAGTGGGATTACGGAGTTTCCCTGTCTTCAAACGCTGGTCAATTTGGGGTTACTGACGTTCGTTTTGAACAGCTTCAGTAATTTTAACATCATACACCATATTAAGTATTGTTACTTATTCTAAGTACACATCTAAACTGATGCGATGCAATCCACGAACAATGAATACCATCGATTTGAACGACACCATTTGTTTCAGTGAGCTGAAGGAGTAGCAAATGGTAGCTTCTACTCTATGACACTTTTAAACAACAAAAATTGTCTAATCAACAGTTATCATTTCAGTTTCTAATATAAGAATTGTGACTTCTCCACAAATATTTGATCTACCTATTAGTGTTTTAAAAGTTAAGCACCCTTGGGTGAGATAAAAGGTCTAGTCTTTATATTCAGGATTGATCGCCTTCAAGAAAAAGGTCTACAATCTAGTCATTATTCAATATCGACTTGCTTGATTATCAGACGTACCCTCCTCCCTGGGATTTAATAGTGGAAATAGCAACATGAATACAAAATAATCGTAAAACATACTAAAATTTGTGATAGTAATTTAACGATATAAAAATCAGAGGCTATTCTTTCAAAAAGTACCTTAATTCTCCTAACCAATTGCTCGATAAAGATGTGCACGGCTTACGAACTATCCCGTTTAATGCAGGACTGGCTTCCGAAGGATTTTCTCGAGCTGATACCAAATCTTTCATCATTTGTACCAATGACGGTTGATATCGAGCTTGTGATACACCTACTAAGTTGCTAAACAAGTAACAAGCGAAAAAATAATATCAATGAAAGTGTAGAATTATGTTTCAATGAAATTTATACAAGGTAAATATAGGAATTTAGAACTTAATTGGTGAAAAGTCTAACTATAAACTATATTTCACATTTCAATGTTGTCAATTAAAATTTGAAAACACTACTTGGAAAATACTTTTAAACTTGGGTCGAACTTTTCAAGTTCACTTATTTTTTTGTGTATCACATTGTACTACTTATTAATACCTAGTAGTCAACGTTATTATTAAACATCTTTCCGAACAGGAAATGTGTGTTTCTAAACCCAGACGTACTAATAATTTCAAACATTTACATCCCATCAGAATTTTCGGATTCATTTTCAACTGTCATGTTTTGAAGCTAAACAATTAGACCAAAGTAAACAAAAGCTTGGTAGGATGATTGGTTTACAGTACGAAGACTACACTATGGAAAAAGAAAATAAATATACTGTTGCAAGCAGAGAAAACAAAATTAAACATGAAAATAAGGGTATATAAATGGATAGGATGAATAGATTACTGAAACAAACAAACACCACTGCATTAGACTGCTAGGTATTAAAAATAGTCAAAGATAACTCAAACTATTGAATAATAATAAGTAGTAGTGTAGCGTAACGCAGAAAACAGTAACCATAGGAAAATTGTGGTCAGCAAGTGGAAAGTCCATTCAGTGCTTCGATATCCATTCCTCCATAATAACAATAGATGTGTATATACTCTAAGTATTGCTGCATATTACTAGAGCATTCTGGGAAATTATATGCCTTGTATAAGCAGGAATTATATACGTAGTGACTTTAGCATTCTTGATTCGTTCCTATTAGTGACGTGGAAAATGATGTTAGTAAATTTTTAGAAACATCAAAATCAGCTTTTCATGGATGAAAAACACATGATCTTTACAAGCGATTAAAATACTTTTCACATAAATAGTGATAAGATATGCTTGAAAGTTAGAATCTAACATTTTGCATTGTTAGCCAACGAGACAAATATTTTCATACACCAGAATTGAATTTATGCTATTATATTAATATAGGGAGCTTTACAGAGATTGTAGAATTTTTATGTTTTAAATCGCGAACTGATCTTAATTACACCATTATGAAAAACCCATGAGCATTGAACGGCCGTTTCATCCTAGGATGGTGTGAGTAATCTCACTGGACAATTTACTCTGTTAATTGAACCAATTAGGATAGACTATTCGATCATTTTTATCGTTGTAATTTTAGATTGGTGAAAATCGTATGTAAAGAATGGTCTGTTTGTTGAATAGTAATATTCTTTTTAGTCACAGGCTAGGTATGCTTATTGGTTCTTTGGTTTTCAGTGAGATATAAGCTACTGATTAAGGGAAAAATCGTATTTGTTGTCTGAATAAACTTTATTTTCCACATTAACCGACGCTATCCTATCGAACTGTAGCATCAAACTAGATCGAGTTAAAAGTTATCAATTTAATAACATGGATATGAACTAGAACACTGATATTCTAGAAGATCCGTGGACTACACAGTCAGCTAAAAATCACATTCTAATGAAAATATAATAAAAACATGTAGAAAAGTTTTGTATGATGAGAATCTATTTATTTGCATATTAGAAAAGAGCTATGAAATTAACAACAGACTAATACTACTACTTACTTATAACTAGGCAATTGAGCTCGTTTCTGACGAAATGATTTTATATTTTGAACAAGATTATTTAGTGATAAGCATTGAGGAATTAAACCACCTTGAATGAGATAAAAAAGACTTTTAAAATAATGTAATAAATGATTGTATTGTACATCTGTTGTTGATAATTTATTTTGTCTACCAAATGAATGATTACCGGTTACAAATTTTTCTGGAACACTCTGAAGCCTCAAGATCGTTCATGATAACATGTTATACACGTGCTCACGCATATATTGGCTATCTAAGAATCAAAGTAGTGGCTAGCATATGAGTAGATTAGCAAAATAAAATAAAGACAGTCAAACCAAAGCAAAAAATCAATTCCTAAAATCATTGACTATTGGGAATGAGCCGCATCGGGAAGTTTCGATTCTATGATTCACTTCAGTAGTATATGCGGATATCTCACAACTATATGAATCCAAGAACTTAAGTAACTCTTAAAAATTCAGAAAATGTTGAGGATTGCTTATGAAGTCTCTTTTTCAGTGAATCGCGTGTTTGTGATTGAACTCTATGCAGAATAAAAGGATAATCCACGGCTAGACTGGGCGAATACATTCAGAATGCAAGATGTATTATTCTTTTTGATTAGCAACTCATTATTCGGATGATTGTTAATAAAATAAATTTTTAAAAAAATTGTCTGTACGTGAAACAATTAAAAATGAACTGAAGTTTCTCATTTTCAACGACTTTCAGAGATGTCTTGAAAAAGGAAATAAAAATGGAACAATTATATTTGTCGAAAATTAGGAGTGCTTTGAAAAGAACAACATGGATGTATCTTAAATTCTGTATATTAAAATTGTTATAACCCCAGTTTGTATTGAACAAACTACAAACAAATAAGAATCTTCCTATACCATTCAGTTACTAGTAAGCTCAGCCTACACACAAACATTCATACAAAACAATACAAAAAATTTAATAAAACTAAATGTGATCGAATTTTAAACCAAAATAATTAATTGACAAATTGAAAATAATTCATATTTACCTGGAACTCTTTGATGCAAAGAAGTTTCAGCAGTCTTTGATCGGCCAGCTGTAAAAAGTTCCTAACAAAAAATGTCAAATAATTTCATAGTACATCATAATAATAGGTAACTAAATACCTTTATAACAGGGAGAAAATTGAGCAAAGCTGAAGTTTCGGAACTGTTCTACCTGAAATTATTGTTTATAATTCTGTTGTACAATTACTAAATACTTGAATTAGTATGCCTTTGGATTTCCTTACTTGTCAGCTTTCGTAGCAGGTGACTTTATTGCTCAAGTGAGTAGCTTGAACCAAACAGAAAGACATTTAGGTGGGAATTTTAGTATTCCGGCTCAGCGAACAGATAATGGTGATCGTCTGCTTCAACTGTGTGCTCAGACAATCGTTTACTTCTAACAAGCACTACTTTTAAACATAGAGAGATTGTCTAATATGGCGACCTCCTGCACCAAACCAACAATTAGTCATCGTTGGAGAGGTTTGATCGAAGACTGCCGCCCGCTCTGGAATACATATTAAAACTCTGATCATACTCTAATACGAGCACGCATTTGCTTGCGCCTTATTGGACGCAGAAAAACCACATTAGGAAAATCCATTAGACTTGAACTCAGTGATGTGAAAGCCGACGCTGACCCGAAGGTTGCTTGGAATGATGTACAAAAAGCTGTGGGAACAGCAGCGACATATATTCATGATCTCAACCAAAAGATCACGAAAAACCAACGGATTTCTGCTGAGTCTATTGCATTGATAGATTCTCCTAAACTGATTCCATCAGGCTCCAGACATGGTGAAGAGCGGAAACAAATCAGATCTAGATTAACCAGAAGTGTAAAAAACGACCATGAACAGTAGTGGGTAACGAAAGAAAAAAAGATGGAATCGATCACAATGGCGTGGGTGTATACACTCCTTGTCTCTCCTTGAGATTAAAATTATTTTATACCTCTCTTTCTACGAACTAATTCTTTCTTCCTGTATTGCAACCTTATGCGCAGTCTTTCTTCTATATATTACTACCATTAAAATAACTAATTCTGTGAATTTGGTGTTCACCTTGTTATGCTGATGAGGTATGGCAACTTGGACTGATGCATACATGTTCCTGGTACTAAGTTGTAGATGACCGACTGACTGTTTTTACAATCCACTAGCCGATCAGGTTTGTGCATAAAAAGATAGTGTGCCAGTATCAACTTCCGGTGACCGCAGGTCACAAAAGTAATGACCCAACTGAAGATTAATCTGACATCCACCCTTAACGTGTCCAAGTATTCAATCCTAACTACTAATTGTTCAGTGATGATTGTGCAGAAATAATTGGATTACTTTTTATACAACATGATGAACTATAATATATGTTACAATTACTAGTTGTAAATAAACTGGAGGAAATAATGTAGGAGGACTTTAGAACTAAGCTAACAGAAGCTGATATTAATATATATGTGATTAGTATTAGTTGAAGCACATAGTTCTTGAGTCATGATGGTGAATTATGAGTAGTGTCTTGCCTAGGTTGTATTATTTTTGATCTACAAGTAGATGTGCAGCTAGCATGACACTGCATACAGTTACTGAGAAGAATTAATGTTGTTCCTTCACAATGTTTCAATGAATGACAGACTGACGAAAATTAGTCAAATTTGCAAAACCTGACACTTGTTTCCGGGATTCTACAGACGTTTCATAGAATGCTAGGTAATAAAGAATATTAATTAAAAGTCATCAACTTTGATTATATCAAACTGTGGAGTCAATGGTAAAGATAGTAAGGGAAAGTTACTTGACAATGATAGTTAAACTGGAAAAAATGTTCAAAGTAGATATGAAACATGACACCACCTTTACGTTGATCGAGATGACGATCATCAAATTACATTTTCTTTATTGGTGATGTCTAATAGTTGAACACTTGGTGTGAAAAAGATGTGGAGTGCGAAAGCTTTCGTCGAAGGTTAAGTAATGAATAGAAAACTAAAGTATTTACACGTTCAAATATAACCCTAAGATTCTAAGGACATCTGAAAATATATTGTAATTAGTGACATAACTGCTAAGTATCCAATAAGGATTTGACATACACATTATTTTCTATGATCCTCTTAACAGATTCCAAAGAACATTGACTGGACGAAGCATATTCATCATTCTTGTAGTTTTTATGTTTTTTCGAGGAAATACTGAGGGCTACCAAAAGTTGTTTTTGTTAAGAATATTCGAAAAATTCAAATTGTGTAATTTGAGTTATAACTTTTATACGACAAAATTCTGACATAAAACTAAAATCCTAGAGTTTATTATCTTCATTAGATAACTTGTCTTTCGGTATGTTATATTACCCTATGTTTCTAAAGGTTACTAGCAAACTGTAAGTTAGTACAAGTTATAAAGTAATATTGCACTTCGTAGATCATATGAGAGGCTCTTTTTGTAAAAGACAAGTTTTCTGTTTTTTGATGCTGTAATAATTAGGGTTGTAGCGCTAACGTTTGGACTTAACCTTATTTGGGCACTGATCTAATTTATCACTCTATACAGATGTCGAGCAATCAGATGGACGGAGGTCAATAAAAAACCAGTCGACAGAAATACAATGGTACGTGAATAATAATAATAATAATAATAATAATAATAATAATAATAATAATAATAATAATAATAATAATGTTAGCGGAATAATCGAAAATCTCACTCCTACTTAAATCAAACACTAACAATGCTGTATTTAGAAAGATAATAAAGGCCCTACAGTTACACCATTCAGTTAATAGAATACAACACTACAAAAATCCTCGTCTTGAGCCATATATCATCTTTATCATTTCAGAATTCTGAACTTTAATGTTGCCTTGCTCAACTACATTAATAGAGTGGCTAAATTCGGTAATATTCGTCACTGATTGATCTTAATAGGGGTAACATTGAAAACCAGGATGCACTGAACAGTTGGTCTTTTCAAGCATGGGACTCATCAACAGTGTACACTCATGACTTACTAACAAATTACACTAATGTCCACAAAACCTCCTCATCAATACCATAATTGTATGTACACTAGTGACTTACTTTGAGATGAATCCCTAAGGTTTTAGAAAATAGTCATAACTAGTGCTCTTTAGTATTCAGTGTAAATCCACCCCCAACTAAGACTAATCAGCGACAAGTGCAACCTAAAAGTCAAATAAATTTACACAAAACTCTATTCAATTAAAAATCAATTCATTAACTGCTACTTACTCGAATAGCTGACCAAATTGATTCTGAGAGAGGTGAATGAATAGGTACTAAGCTTATTGTGTGTATTACGAAGAGAAACATTTCATCAAGACTTGGTAATTTTCTAGAAAAGAAGCAACCATAACAGTGAAAAGATTGGAAATATATAGGGAAAGGATAATAGAACACATGAACTGAATCGTACTGCACGACTACTTTTGTGAAGAGAAAAAACTGTTTGTCTTTTTAAGTGAATTGGCAACAGAGTGTAACATGTCATGAACCAGACAGTCATCACGATCAACGGGGGGGGGGCCACGGTTATATCAACAACTGACTTAAGTTAAAAATATGAATTATTAGTTTTCCACTGAGTTTAAATGCAACACGTTTACAGTAAAACCTGCGAGTCCCGATTCTTGGTAAGAGTCACACGCTGAATAAAGACGGCTGTTTAATATTTATTAGGCGTCAACAGTACCTAACCATAGCTGTTACCTTAAGGTGATAGTTGGACTTGTATATCGTGAGGACCTAATCGAGCTATAATGGTTGAAACATTTCTTTCTTTCGGTTCGACTATACTAAGCAGGTTAATTGGAGAGCGATAACACTAAAAATGGAAAACGAATGGTCTAAGAGAAAAGTCATATTAACAAAAGTACAGGAGTGTGACGGCAGTAAGGTATATTCCTCAGACAACCAGCATCTCCGGCTATACGGCCTTTTCATGACAGAATGAAGGGGTTTGAAAAGGTCTCAAGCAGTTGTCTCTTAGACTCTGCTGGCACGTTCCCAGGTCATCAATACCACTACCACCTCTGTCCAAGCACACCAAGGAGAAGTAGACTTCTGAGGTGTGGACAACCATGAAGTGAGAACCTTCCTCGCACCCCTGCCTCAAGCAACACTCGAAGTTTCAGTGGTTCAGCATCTGATCTTAATCCGTCCTGATCACTACATCTTCACACCAATATCCACAACCAGCTCAAATAAATAACTAGCAACAGTTATGGTATATTTTGGTTCAGGAAAACATTTTCAAAATACAAGCAGTAACTTACATAGCTTCTTTGTAAGCATTTAATAGAATCGGTTCACAATGTGTTGGTTTTTGAAGTTGTTGAATAAGTTTAGCATCAGCCTGACTGGCAACCAATAAAGAACGTTCAAACTTCACCAATAATTTCTCCAAACTAATCATATCATCGTGAACATGATGATGATATCGGTTGCGACTTGTAATTGAATCGAATGTATTAATTACAGCCAATGTTAACTGAATATGATTTAGAAGGTCGAAACGACCTGATTTACAAATTGGTCTGGAAAAAGTTAATCAATAATCAAAAAGTGTTACAAATGATGGCAGTGTATGGAGAGGAAAGGAACGAACGTGAACAACACATCAACAAGAAGTATGCAAATCTTTCATTTAAAATGTATGCCCTCTCTCTCGCCTCGAGTGGGAAGCAAGAGAATTTGGAAACCAATTCTATGATAAACACAACGAGAATTATAAATGAATAAACAGATTAAAGGTTTAATGAAGCCAGATAAATGTACTAGTTTCTTGGAAATATGTATATATTAATTAATTATGTTCGCGTCCAACTTCATTTCTTCCTTCGCCTTTATTATATAGTGTACCATACTACTCACTGGAATTCAATAGCTCATATTATCGTCAATCATTTTAGAACGCATAGCTCATGATACTTCTTGATTGTAGTATGTTGATAAGTACTTATATGCACTTTCGAATGTTGAATCTATTTAATTATTGTAATTTTCTCACTTACCATTCTTAGTAGCTTTTCTACGGTTCATTTTTTCCTCATGAAAAATTTCTTAATGTCTAACAACTTTCACAATTGGTACTGTATAACCCTCATTTCAATTTGTTGACTGACATGTTACTTATTATTACAGTAAGTTTTGATAATTGTTTCTAAGATAACTGCATAAAGAATGCATCTTGTCGTTCATTGTGCTTTAAAGAATTCCTGACACCTTAGAAGATTCATGTTTTCAAGTTTGTAGACTTTGTACATGTTGTCTTACCATTAATAGTATAGTTTTTTGCAAACAGATCTTTTGTTTTGATTCTTAGATTTGACGCGTCATTCAATCGTTTGGTTAAAATGAAATACTGTATTCTCTAACTTGTGTCACTAGGACTGGAATCTAGCCTAATATTTAAGGCACTCGGCTTTTACCATTATTACTATTATCAGCTCATTTACCAGGCAGATTTCTGTGCTTGGCCTTGAGCCACATATTAAGTGTGGGGGTTAATGATACTGATTGGTTGTTCAAACCGAAGAAGGTAGGGTGAGATTCGTACAAACTTACTAGGAAGTCAGAGAGCCTAAATTTGTAAGCCAGCTCTTCACTTTTAACCACTAGGTCCTATTTTAGAACTCCGCTTCGGTCAGCAGATGAGTAGAGGAAAATAAAGTCAATAAGCCAAACACTGCTTTTCCAATAACTTACATGAATAATTCCTTAATTTGACTTCGTAACAGATCGGCCCATTTCGCCTTGGTTCTTGGTGGTTCAGATAATTCAGGTAACTCATAGAGTATCAACTCCGAGATATGTAGTAAGTTTTGTTGGATTTTAGAGAGTGATGCCTTTCAAGAAAAAATAGGGTTGAGACAAAGCATAAATGTCCATCTAAAGTTGTTATTCACTGTGTTTTATGATCCTGGTAGCATAGCAAACATTATAATCCAATCTCTTTATACAAACTCAGTTCGATTCTAGCCATTACATGTCAAAGTTGGTGATTATGAAGAGTAGTACCATTGTATTGAATTAAGTGGTTCGAAATATAAGTTGGCAAATTTGATTTACAAGTACACTTATAAAAACAAGTGAGATTGTAACTGACTGATTTGAAAACTTCACATTCCAGACTACTATTGGTTCGTGAGAGTTACTGATACTACCCACTGTCCAAACTGAAATAAATGGAGTTTGGGGGGAGGGTTAGTCTGTGACCTACGTGGTTGACGACTGAGTACAGATTTATGTACTTAACTTTTTGTTATACTTTTTTTGTTACTTACTTGCGCCTGTTACTCCTCGTAGATCTACAGTGCGTCGGTGAGAGCAGTTTTGCTATACACTTGTGAACCTGGCCTCTCCAATTTGAGGATGTTAGATGACTCTTGGTGTTTGACTAACGTTGTCTCTGGAGGATTGCTGACATGCAGTGGCAACATCATGTTAGTAATGCAGGGATTTGGCGACGTGTGTTTGAACACAGCAAAGATAATTCAATCGGTATCATTATCTTGAAATACCGACTTCGGTGGCTTGAACATATCTTACGAATGTTGTCCCAGCGAATTCCACATCGTACATTATTTTCTGACGCTGGGACCAGTTGGATAAAACAGAGGTAGTTAGTGTATGACATGGTGTCGTGGTATTAAAGAAAGCTGTATAGGACGGACATCTGCTGGCCCTCCACGACTCCCTGATTAAAATTCTAGGGATGGTACAATACAGTGGTTTGAGACGTTATCAGACATAGCTCAGAATAGAAGCCGGTGGTGATCCGTTTGCAATGCTCTCTTACTTTCTTCACAAAAGTGCATAACTTATTTAACTGAAAGAATTCTTTCTGGTTATATTTTCCCTAACTAAACGGCTTCTCCCATTATTATTATTATTATTATTATTATTATTATTATTATTATTATTATTATTATTATTATTATTATTATCATTTCATCATCATACACTAATTCCAATTCATTTTTGTACTTTTTTATTACACTCACTTTTCTTTCCCTATACTCTTTACCTTATACTTATGGTGTGGCGCAAACATATTTGATTACTCTTCGTACCAGTGTTTATGTGTTCAAGTAATTAAGTAAAATTCCTCGACCGCGCTGGTTATGACGTGTTACGTATACCCAACCACCTACTACCTCAGCGAGTGATATTTGATGGAGAAGGAGTATGTTGGGATAACACTAGAGGCGGATAGACAAAAAGCATGGTACCAGTCCATGAAATAATTGAATGTTGGACCAAGTTGTATCTGTAGGAACAGGTTACTTGATCGAAGACCGATTGGTTGTCGTAAAAAAATATTAAGTGACATCGCTCGGAATCAGTTGTGAAGTGGTGGATGCATTTACTGTCCTTTTTAGACTTTATGTTGAAAAAGTGTCTCACACTTTTCATTACGCAGACTCATGTTTTTTGAACCATATCTATGCCTAATTCTCCCTACTTTCAGTAATATTGTTACTACTACTAATCTGTCATTTGTTTTAATAGTTGAATCTTAATGTATTGACATGGTGTAACAAATTGAACTGATCCACGTTTTAGTAGGCTATACATTGCCTATGACTGATTGAATCAAGCTCATTGAAAATAATAACAAAAAGCCCATTCTCAAAATGTAATATGAGGCCAAAACATCCAATCTCTCAGTAATAGTGGGGGTTACTATTGACATCAATTACCCTATGTTGAGAAATTTGTGCATTCAGGTGTGTGATAATGATCAGTTCAAATAAAAAGTTACTTACATGCTCTTTTAACATGAAGTAATCATCAAGCAAGGGATTTACAGATACATCCATTGACTGCAATAAATCCGTACACAGGTCATGTGATACCATTTTTCCGTGGCTTTTATTTTCAGATGGGCTAAAAGGAATTGAAACAAGTATAAATCGACTAGAATAATAAATTGAACTCAGTATTCATATAAACGTTTATGTACTAGAAGTCCTAAACTGGACTGGTTGTCTGAAAAGAGGTAGAATGTAATTTGAACCGGTAATTCACTCACTGCGATTCGAGCAGTTGAGATAAATTGTAATACGAATGGATGTTTTTGGTGTTATTGCGTTTTCTGAGCCAGCTGGTTTAAAATTAAAAAAACTTTATGAAAAGTCTTGCTAATTGAACGCTATATTTCGGTTCCTAAGCTATTCTCGTAACCCCCAAGCTAGAACTACACAGCGACTTGAACACGAGAGAAAAGACGCAAAATATGCGAGAAGCACTTTACTCCAAAGGTTCGTTTTATTACAAAAAATATACGGTTCTTATAGTATTTTAGATGTCTTTGGGTTTCCCGAAAATTCTGGAATGCTATTAAACATAGTAGCAGTATAGTAATCAGCCAATCAGAAACTCTACAAGTGACTTTTTACTTTCTTGATGTTTGTGGCTAAACTTCTAGTGAGCGCTGATTGAATAAAATGCTTCTTAGTGTTTCCTGAGCCTTTCTTGTTTTCTGGATCACCCAAACACTTTAATTGTCATCATAGATAATATCATCAGCAGTGTGTCTGCTTTAATTATAAAGCCTCGGAGCTGAAAGCTTTCTAATAAGCTAAAATTTAAGTGCATAACGCAGTGAACCATGCTTTGAAGAGCAAACGCATAAGTGCAACGGAGAAAGTTACGAACTGTTTAACCAAAGTCAGGTACAAGGTAATTGAAGAAACTGTTTGCAAAGGCCATACATATTTTCTTTTTATTTGCTATCACATCTATCTCAAGGCTAAATGGTAGCTGGGGGACTAAAAATGAGGAGTCCCAATGGAAGCAGTGGGTCGAACACCTAGTCATGGTCTCACCCCACATGTCATTATCTAGACCTCTAGGGACAGATATATAAACAATCATGATCTGTATACACCAAAGTTCAGTTTCGGCAATTAAAAGCTTCCAACAATCTTCAATATCTCTTTACCTTTATAGTGGGCCTGGTCAGTCTCTGGCAGCGAATATCGTAACTGGATCGGATCAAAGACCATAACAACGTTGAACTATACAAAGAAATATTAAGGACAACTAGACTGAACATTGGCTACAGCAAAAAATACACTAGATTCTGTTGAAATGATGTGAATGTTAATTAAAAAGACGGTAACTGCCTATGAAAATAACAGAGAAATTCTCTTTGGTATGCATGAATACCACCAAGAACTGAATATTGCTGGAACTTGTTAGCCAATTCAATAGGAATGGGTAGATTTGAAACAAAAAGAATGAACTAGCAGATTGTTTAAAGTATCAAAACCTGTGTGTAGCCAGACAAGTGATCAAATGGTCTTCAAGCCAAGATCAGGGTTTTCGGTAACAATTGAGGTCAACTAACGAAGATGTAGAGCTGGATCAGTAAAGATAGTTAACACATGTCACACATGTCCAGTTCTTTATAGTGATACTAGTTTCAGTGTATGGATAAGGTAAAATAGACCAAGGAATAGCATTCACCTACACAGTTATTGACCTTGGTTTAAGTAATATGGGAGAGTCTAAGTTTCCTAATAATGATTTGCATTCTAAGGAAGATTACTGAATAAAAGCAATACTTGATACAGTTAAAAACTGGTCTTGAACATAATGATAGACTGGTTTTTTCACGTATACGTACTATTTCAATGTTGTTAGGGTCGTTCATGTTGAGGATTAAAGAAACTATGAACAGTGTGATGTAATTTTTAAAGGTGATCATTCTAATGGACGAATTTTGTAAGCATTATTCTATTAAGTAGAAATATGAATTTTCTTACCACATGGATAATTGTTCCCAAGATACATTGATTTGGTGACCGTCAGGAGATAATTCAGCGAAAATGGTATCTAATAAATGATTTGATCTTGTATACGGCTCTAAACATGCAATCGGGTCACAAATAATTGATTCATCAATGAAAATAACTGAAGCTGTGCATTTTTCAGCACTATTATGAAGAGACTACAAGAAGATAAAAAGAGGTATTTACCATAATGGTTAACCATAACATAAAGATATAACAGTAAAACAATTTTGGACCATAGGAAAAACGTGCAGACTGAACGTATTTGAATAATAGGTAACATTAAAGAATGGTTTGCACAGTCAGAAGGTTTGAACACAACCAGTAAACAAAAATCTTACTTTTTTTCTGTTTACTGCAGCAGGAAAATCAGCAAACAGTGCAGCAACTTTACTACTAGTCTGTCCAAATGAATAAACTTCTTCGACAATCTACAATATGAAAAGTCAGTTATAAGCAACCGATTGACTGCGAGGTTTATTTTTTAATTATGAATTCATTGTATGAAGAAGCTTAATACCGCTGGGCATCAGGAAATTAATTGCAGCAAACGGAGTGAGAATGTTGTGAATAAATAAAAGAGGAAAAATAATATTAACGGTAACATCAACACGATTATTGAAGAATGCTGACCGAATTCGAACACAACCAAGAAAAAAAGGACACCAGAACTGTTCTTAGCTATTGTTTGTAGCACTGAACAACAATGCTAAGATGTTTGGAATGCGTTTCCCCTCAGGACTGGCCTGTGTCAGCATTCGAACTAAAGATAGAGAGTGAAGTAGACGAACATGTCAAAACTTCACTTATCTTCGAAGTTTTGTCAGCCCTAATGGGTTGGTGTCTGATGAAATTTCTTTACGGATTCAAAAAAGCTCGTTCGGCTTTTGCTAACTTATATCACATATAGCGAATGAGAGATATCCATCTATCAATTAAAGAACGAGTATACTGTGCGGCAGTTCGTTCTATTTTACTTTACGGCTGAGAAACGTGGCCAATAAGGGTAGAAAATACTTGCGAGTTACTAGTATTTGATAGATGTCTTGGAACTATTGCTCGCATTTGCCGGTATCACTGGGTAAGTAATAGTGAAGTTAGACGCAAGGTAACAGGGAATGATGGTAAATCAGTTGATGAGGTTATGAATCTACATCGACTGAGAAGGTTGGGTCACATATTCCGCATGCCCGAACACCAATTACTATGGCACGCAATGCTGACTAGTGTTGGGGATGGGTGAAAGAAAGAGGCGGTCAAAACAAAACTTGACATCAGACAATAAAGTCACTAACTTCGGGTCTGAGCCATGTTGATAGATGAAGACTACCTGGTTGGGGTCTGCGCGACTATCTTATCCAATGATTGGGGACTTTGTGTGACATATCTCAGAATCGATCACAATGGAGTGAGTGTATACACTCCTTGTCTCTCCTTGAGATTAAAATTATTTTATACCTCTCTTTCTACGAACTAATTCTTTCTTCCTGTATTGCAACCTTATGCGCAGTCTTTCTTCTATATATTACTACCATTAAAATAACTAATTCTGTGAATTTGGTGGTCACCTTGTTATGCTGATGAGGTATGGCAACTTGGACTGATGCATACATGTTCCAGGTACTAAGTTGTAGGTGACTGACTGATTGATGTTTAATAACATTGCGAGCCACTGAAGTGCGTTTAGCGAGACCAAATTTAGGAATTTGTGATATGTTAGCATGAGCAAAACTTACGCAAATTCTTCCTATATTGATGTTACATAAAAAGTTGACTGCGTCTTAGCTTTCAAGAATTATACACTGTTTCTTTTTCTATGGGCTTTTCATTAATTTTTAAATCTCAGGAACCAAGTGTTTTGTATAGATGCGTCTAACATGTACAAACTGTTTTGGTTAGTGTTTTAAGTTAGCGTTACTCGTCACATGATACTCTGAAAAACAAATGCAGTGACTAATCTTAGCATCACTCACATGACATTACCACACAATTTGAGTACTTTACCAGAGACAATGACGACACAGCACATTTTTCGAACATCCTGAGCTAAAATAAACCATCTTTTGCAAGCGAGAATAGGGAAAGTTGAGCATTACTTCAACCTTAGTTTCTAAAAAACCTGATATCTATGAAATCATGGGACCATGTTATCACCATTTACAAACCATCTAATATTCTCAAAACCCATGACGTTTAGGTCCAGAAAATTTTTTTACTAAAGTAAACTAAAAACATAATTTCTCACGGAAGATTTTGAAAAGTAAATAAAACTAAGTGATATACCTGGATAATAAAGAGTAGCAGCTTACCTTCAAGGACCAGAAGATGCTGTTGATTTCATAAAACGCGGCACAGTGATTTTCCAAACCCTGCCTAGCGTTTCTACAATAACTTGCATACTTACGGGAAGTAAAGCATGCGCTTTTGGAAGGACAAACAAATTTTTGAAAGCTTCTCGCGGAGTACTAAAAATGAACTCTATTTTGCAAGTAAGCAGTTTGTTCTGGTAACATAAGTAAGTAATTTGTAAATCAGTTACGTCTTTAGACAAATACTGCACTTCATACTCCGGATATTCGCTCAAATGTGGTAACTTGAAAAGCTCACAATTCCCAGTAGCTTCTATAGTGGACAATATAAAAGAACCTGAACGCTTTCCATTGTCAAACACAACAGATGTAATCTGTTCAAGAAGCGAATTCGTAAATGGAGAGGATACGATGAAAATGAAGGTTTTGTTGACTAACTCCTGTAGTATTTATTATTATTGCAGTAATTTCTACCTCAGTGACGTCATAAATAGGAAATACGTTTTTTACACCAGAACACAATAGACATGAACTAAATTTTTCAAACGCAACAGATTCTAGAATAACATAGTCAACCCCGTTTAATTTTCCTAGAAGATCCTTCAAAACTGAGGAACGCATTGATTTGAAATGCGTACTGACTCAATGTACAATACCATACTGACGAAACAGAATTCTCCAGTGAACTCTTTGTACTAGTGTGTTGATATTAAAAGAGTGACTTCAGGTCTTTACAAAACTCAGGTTAAGTGTATCTAACCATTCAGTTTCAATTGTCTTACATTACTAAACATGTAGTAAGACATGAATTATTGTAAATCAATTTTGAATGAATATTTTTATTTCTCTCCAACAGGGCTGGGAAGACATTTTTTGTTAAACTCTTGTGTTTGAAATCGCATCGTGAACATTTTCATAAGCCATTTGTTTTTATTTTTAGAGGCTCGGGAGAGTGGATGGGAGCGAGCGAGAAGCGAAGAACTGAGGAAGGAAATGATATACAAGATGTACGGTATTGAACATAGCAGAGATAGTAAGCGCTGATTACAATTCCTCGTGACACTAATATTTTCAAAGCTTTCCAACTTGTGGCAGTAAACAACTCTCCAAAAGCAATCACTTCACAGACATCGGGATTTGATATAGGCTTTTTTTAGCTGTGGCGGAAACTATTAGCTGAATATGGTCGGTCAATCATCGCGGTTATGTTTCAGCATAGCTCGCATGCGACTCTTCTCCTTCTCTTAATGCTTAGTTTAAAAGTTTTAGGTCCCGCTGTCTCTGGCGTTGTTGAAATTTGTTGTTTCTTCTTTGTTGATTAAACTTCTATTTGTCATAATCTTAAACGAGTGAGTTTTTGGATTACTGTACATTAATTAAAAAAGCGAAATAAACAATTTAAATTTTCTTTCATGGGTTTACCGATACTTCCGTATGTTGTCTTCAGTATCAACCTAAGACATCATTATTGATTTCATTTTTATTTCTGCGGTGCTCAACTACATACACATAACTCTGAACATTAACAGACTGTGCATCACTAACACGGTCGTCATATTCCGCAATATACACACATCTATAAGCAGAATCTCTTTCCGCGAAACATTACTGCTCACTTATTTTTGCGTTTCATTTGTTATATTTTTGTGTATGTGTATCCTTTTTTTCCCTCATTCGTTTTGCATACTAGTATTACTTCTGAACACACTGGGGGGATCTGTGTGGGGATAATGCGACTATTAGAAGTATTTGAATTTATTACACGAACTAAGAATCGCATGAATAACACGATTTAATCAATAAGAACTACATGGAATTCGTAATTAACGGCCAACTAGTACAAAAGAATCATTAGTTCTTACAAATACCACAACCATGAGAGCTTGAATTAAAATTTAAGTTTCTATAAACAATTGTGCTTTTCATTAGGTCCATCATGTGTTTTTCCGTCTGTGTATTGCATATAGACTCTGGAAGATTTAGAATGTACAGATTAGTATTAATATTAACAACCGAAATTGTAACGGGCACACTCGGTTTCTAGATTTGCTTTTGACCAACATGTCGATCGTGTGTACTCAAATCACTGATATCTAGAATTCCCATTATAGATTTTTCGACAATTTTCATCAAACTCCCCGTGGCTGGTCGAAGGTTCAGGCTACCTTGAGAAGGAATCAAGGACCACAAGCACATATTTTTTGCTGAGATAGATTATAATAGTCTGCGTGAACTCTCTGCCGGGCCTCAGGCGATGCTGGCCATGGAATTCACTTCAAAGAATGGTTTTTTGACATACGACATCTTCCACAATTTTTTGTCGTAAGACATATATCTGCATTTGTAACCAGCCACCAACATGTGCGCTTTTGACAAGTACTTCTTTTTCTAGATACCCTAATGTAAACTATGAAGATCGTCAAAGACACATTCTCGTAATGAGGGAGGAATAACAACACAAATATTTTTTATACAAACTGCCATCAGGAGTATTGGACAACTCATCCCGCTTTGAAAAATATGCAGGAAATCTACGTTTCAGATTATCATTCGGGACTTTTCGTGTGGCACTGAGCATACATCGAAGGTATCGACGAGTTTCTATAATGAAATCTGGACATCTCACTGTTAAAGGCTGCACTTACAAACAGTCTGAAGTATCAACAAATTATTCTTGTATTGATTATCGGGATATGTAGTCAACATGTTGAGTTCGTTTGACACTCCTGTATTGAATCGTATTGTTAAAGGCACGCAAAGCAATATTCCATCGTTAAACCATACCAGCTGAGAAACGTGCTGGGGATTTTTCAGGATGATAAATAAACTTTAAAGCTTCATGATCTGTAACAATAGTGGATTTCTACTCGAATAAATATTTATGAAGTCTTTTAAAAACGCAAAACACAGCTAATGCTTCTAGCTGAGTTTATGAATAACCATGTTCAGTAACAGTACTTTAGTAGACCTCGTAAGCATGACTCTTGTTCCCCACTCAATTTAAATGAATCAGATATCAAACATTTAAAAAATGATTAACATGACAAGGAAAATTATTGGTAAAACGGAAATAGTATTGAAGAGCACCCACTAATGAACACAGTTTTGTAAGATGTTTCGCAGATGGTACATTTGTCAATGGAGCAAGAAGCTTTATATCTGGTCTAAAACCATTACGATCAACTAGGTATCCAAGACATTGAATACTAGATTCACAAAATGAGCACTTTGGATTCACCGTAATATTCTTCTCAATTAAAAAACTCAATAAAGCAATAAGTCTCTGGTTATGAACTACCTTATCAGAACCATGAACAATCAGATCATTTTGATAAATCTCAACAACTTCATGATCACTAACTACTTTATTCATCACTTTTTCCTAAAATGTGGATAGGGAACAACTTAGACCAAATTGAAGGAAGTTGTATTTGTACAGACCAAATGAAGTGTCAATTGTCGTCAAAATAGATGAAGATTGATCTGAAGAGATTTGAAGGTAAGAATATCTTCGGCTTCCGCCGTCGTGCATATTTGTTTTAACAAACAGGAGTTCAGTGTTATTCTATAGTCACCACGTATTCTAGGGATCTTGCCATCCGACTTCAGTGGCGTAACAACCGAAGCACCCTATGCTGGAACTAAGTCGAACCAATTACACTTTTCGCACACAAGTTGTTCAATGTCTTGTGTACTGCTTCTCGAAGACCATAAGGAATTATTCGTCTTTTAAGAAGGATTGGACCACCCTGTACTTGAAATTTCATAGGCTGAACCCTCAGCCCTGCAGTGCACCCAGCACATGCATCTATCAAATCTTTAAGAGAAGCATCAGAATATTCTGTAGAAAATGATATCGATAACTTTTTAAACCCAGTGTAGACAGTCCTGTTTCATCAACTAAAAGCTTAGAAGGCATGTATGAAGAATTAACATTTCTTATTAGCAGTTAATAGCATCATTGTACTGGCAGTCTGTGTCCAGTAATCCCCAACATTGAGACTTCAGTGGGTCGTACCTTATTAGGATTTAAATATTTCAAGTTGTTTAATGAAGTAATGGACTCTGTAATGTCTGTGTCAACAACAAAGTCATGGAATGTACCGACGGACATATATAGTCGCTATTGGATATGAACATTACCTTTCAAAACGATGGATACAGATAATTGATTATCAAGGACAGTCGAATTAATGGGGTTAGCGACCCCATCCCGTAGAAAACTAACTCGCTAAAAAAACACTAACCAGATTCACAAGTTTTAGTACTACTTGACGCAAAATGAACAGTAGTTTTTGAATTGTGACTGAATGTGTCCTATCTTACCAATTTTAACATACTTAACATTACAAAATGCACATAAATTACGAGAATGGAATTCGTTACAAGATAAACACTTACCAAACTTGCGATCAACTTTTTGGTCCTCTTTGCAATTCCTTTTTGAACCACCTTTTACTTTTTCAGGAAAATAGCGATCACTATGAAGCGAACGCGAGCTTAATCAATCCTGAGAGTGTATTATATTATGGCTACTGAGCAAAGCATTAAAAATGTTGACCGACTAGATATCAAGTTCGTTCATTGCTTCGTAGTTGATACATAAATCTTGGAAGGAACAATTCAGCATTCTTAACAGCTCTCCTTCCTTACCTGGCGATTCAATTTCTGTAATTCATCGACCCCTCAGCTGCACATGAAGTTAACCACCGAAATTGCATTTGAGATCTTGTTTTTGCAATTTAAGGATGGGTTCTCTAACCTCCTAGTTATTCTGACGAATAATCTTATGAAATTTTGTTCTCTCATGACATTCCAAACTGGTGCACTTTACATGATTTAATAATAGTTCCTTAAAAGTTGCATAAGGAAGTGAGATATGCTTTTCCAGAAATGTAAAAGTTTTTAATAAACTGTAGGCTTCTTTTTCAATGAATTTGAGGAAATATGCCAAAATTTTATAACCCTACACATATTTCTTGGACATACTCCAGATTTCAAACCTTTCCCAATAGTCTCCAAATTGCTTCACAATCTGAATGAATGTTCAACTGTCCGATCGCAGGCTCCATTGCGACACCAATGAGATGATCCGGAGTATTTTAATTTATTATACGAACTTTGAATTCCCAGAATAATGCAATTTATCCAATAAGAACTATATGAAGGCAAACGAAAACATTGTTTTTGGAGTTCAAAATCAGGCAGTCATCAAGTATAGGGGAATCATTAGTCCATACAAACACCACAGATAGATAAAAGACTTATTTTATAATTAGTGTTTGCTATTATCGTTAATTTCTCATTAGTTCTCATAATCTGCACAAACATCATTATTGCCTGTAAAATTGTTGTTTGGTAAAACTACCTTTGGCTTTCCGTTGAGTTTTCGAACGCTTCATAGTGTAGTGAACAAAAACACGGGTGGGGACAATCGATTGTCTTGAGGCACATAATTACAGAGCATCTCAATAAAATCCGAGGACCATATATTAAACCGTTAATTTGCAAAATATCAATCCATCATATCAAATTTGACTGTTCCTGTTGCAAACATCAATCCATTGTCTCAGATTTCATTGTTCATACGTTTTCATACCAATTGTGTTCCGTTCCCGTTTTTTCCTCATCGACCTTCTACTGAAATACAT